GCAATAGTAGGTACACACAGTCTCACAGCAGTCTGGTGGATTTGCACCAGTAAACCATCGCCCACAAGACCACAAGCCAACGTGCAAACATCCGGCTGGAAACCCATGAAGTCAGTTACATCAGAAAAGCTCACACCAACAGATAGAACCCTGGTCTCTTCAACAAATGATAGTACAAGGAAAGAATGATAAGAATCAGCCATTTTCATTTTCACTGTCCAAGTTCCAGTAATACCCTGATAAATAGGAGCAGTTTTCAACAATTTCTCTACACTGATGCCACTGCGTATAACTCGTAAAGATCCTTCAGGTGCCATCCCACAGCAGGCAAACATTTGATCATGTTTCTCATCATGGTAATCCACAACGGACATATCCAATATTGGTGCGATATTTTGGATTGGACTTCTATAAACAAGTTTTCCCTCTTCAACTTTTAACACCATCCCATCACCCATCTCAATGATAACTGCCAAAAACCCACCTCTCACCCACAAAAGTGCCTTGGCTGGTTGAGTCTTGTAAAGACAATCAGACAGAGATATTTTCAGGCCATCAGAATCAAATAAAAAATCAATCAGGAAAAGCTCTCCAGAATCAGCACAAAATATCATCCTAGGACTGTGCTCATTTCCAGGATTCCAACTCCATGAGCAGACAAAATTTGAACCCGGTTTTACATTGCTATCATCGTCAATGTTCATTGGGTCATTTTTATTCAAGTCGCTAAGCTCAAGCAATGCAGATGCAGCAACGCTATACATACCGTCTTCGTCAATAATATCAGGAATTCTAATAGCCTCTTCTACAAAATTCTGCTCCTCAACTGAAGGTGGTGTAAAATTTAAACTTATTCGATAAAGAAAACAAGGGTTGTGAGGATCTCTAAAGTCCATCACAATAGCATCCCCAGCACGAAATACTAACAGGATTCCATAAGAATGAGGAACTTCTATGATATGATGTGCTAGTGGTCCAGGTTCAGAATACTGATATATTACATGGAGTGAATGCTCCTTCATATTCCACTCTATCAACATGAGCTCAGTCCTATATGATCTCCTCCTGCAGGGCCAAATTTGAAACATCATATCAATACTAGCATAGCAGAAATTAGAAGATGATGATTTGTCATATACAACTACAAAAGAGAAAACCCACTTTCCATCACAAAGCCAGTTTAACGATTGCGAATCTGACAATTAATTATGTTTGCGAACTTATCCATCATCCTACCTATTCAGAAGAATGGCCAATACAGGATTGTGCTCCTTATTTGGTTGACGAACATCTGTTGAGATGAAGCACATGCTCCATATGGTACCACAGATACTGGTGAAACCACTGGCAGTCCCAATCTTCCCTTGATTGTCAGTGGGACAAAAGATTCTCTAATATCATTATTTAAAACAAATCAGTAGAATAGAACATAGCTATCCAAGCGGTTAAGTTGCATACATATCTAGCACGAAATGTATGCAAAAATATTAACCTTATCAAGTATATCACTGCCAGCTGAAGCAGAGCGGGAGAAAAGAGCCAATCTGTCTTCATATGCACTAGCAGCAATGAAACAGCCACTGCATAGGGCAGAATAAGAAATTACCGACATGGACATCTAAGAATCTTTAGGTAGTAGCTGAAGGTGACTGGTTTCAATTGTTGCCAACCATCTAATTAGTTTCATTTGTCCATCAAAAATACAACTTACCTGGAATCAATAGCCAACATCCTTCCAATTTGATGCCTTGGATTTCCAGGAGATGAAAGTTGAACATGTGTTACAGCGAAAAACCTATGTGAACAATGCAAAGGTACGCCTTTAATGAAAAGGATGACTGTCTTGGCTAAATCAAGATTTTAAGAAGAATTCACTGCTCCTTTTATGTGTAACAAAAATAAAAGGAAAAAGATAAGTTGAGAAACAATTAACCTGTGCATTTCATTGCAAAATCTGAGAACTGAGAGCTTCCCTGAATCCGAAATAACAACCAGGAGATCCTTGCTCAAAAGCTATTTAAAAGAAGTGAAAGGAAAATGCCATGAGTATAGAATCTTAGAAATAAGGGATAAGTTGAAAGGAGCAATCTAAGACACCTGCGGGCTTCCAGCACGAAACTTCTCATTCCAGGGCAGCACAGCTATATCTTTTATTATGCCAAATACAGGCTGCTCACAGATAGATTGCACAATTCCATCTTCATCTATAATCACCAACTCTACAGATGTTTCCTGCATCAAAATACATTGTCATATTACTTGCTGAAACTTGCTAAATAAAACTGTAAACCGAGTAGCTAACATTCAACATGTTGAAGCCCATATGCAAAGTATCCAATCAGAAGCAATTAAGCATGCAGCACACCCGTGCTATATAAGCATAGGATACTATAATTCATCTAGAAATCAAGAGAACATGCAAGTGCTACTAAAAAACATATTTTAATAAAATACAAGGCAGTGAACAATAGATTAATCCTGGTTGACCCCTTTATGCACCCACAAGGCTCCTTTTAGTATACAATATTGGGTGTTATTTATAGAGAACCACATCTCTTATGTTGGCTCTCTATTTCTTTGGCTAACTGCTTGTATACGGGAGTTTCCAAATTAACAAAATTTCATATACCTTATAAAAACTGATAGTATGCGAACGCCAAAAACCAAAAAACAAGGATGCAAAACGCCAAAAAACCAATACTTACCTTATAGGAAAAAAAACAGCAAAAACCAATACTAGCTACAAGGTTGACTGGGAATATCTATTGGTTAAAGCATCTAAAGGAAGGATAACAAAATTGTTAGCTACAAGGTTGAGCAAGAACATCTATTGGTTAAAGCATCTAAGCTTTACTTGTTGTCACGTTACATGGACTCAATACAAGCATCCAATACGGGTATCAATCTAGAAGCCAGATTCGTCAACACCTAAATTTTAAGATTCAGAGATACAAACAGAGGGCAAAATGGTTGGGTGGTGGCTAAAAATTATGACAACTTCTATAACATAGAATTGTTTAATGTAACTATGATAGTGTAATTAATTGAACTATAAATGATATTCCCATGTGAGTTTGTATGTTTTTTCCGGTTGTTTGATACAAGAGAGCCTTATTAATGGATTGTCCAGTGTTGTCAAAGGCGCGCTTAAAGCGTGCTTAAGCCCTGAAGCGAGGCTCAAAACACGTTGAGCGCTTCGCCTCGCTTTGTGTGTGCTTCAGTGTCACATCAAAGCTCTAAGGCATACTTTTCCTTGCCAATGAGTGTAATCCTGAAAAGGTGACTTTAAACAATTGATATTTCACTTTATCGTGAATTTTTTTTTCAATTTCTTTGTCCATATATTGGTTATTCATGCTTAAAATGATTAGTCTTGAACTACATGCATATTTTTACTTTTTCTCCCGTTGCGCCTTTTTTCATTAAAGCCCACGCTTTATTTGCGCTTTGCGCTTCAAGCCCCAACGGACTTAGAGCTTTTTTACGCTTTTCGCCTTTGATAACACTGGGATTGTCAATAATTTTGAGATGAAAACCAAGCAAAAAGTAACATACTGAAAGTTAGATCAACGTGATCAGATGATAGGGATGAAAATTACAAGTAAAGCATCTCCCATGAAATGGCTGTGGAGATATGTACAGGAAGATCAGGGAACCTGAAAGAAAGTGGTGAATGCAAGGCAACTGGTCACAAAAGTCTCTAGCCAGCACATGAGGTTGGACCTTGGAGAAACATAATCAGACTATGGGGAGAGTTCCGACAGAATAGCAGATTTCAGATAGGAAATGGTGCAAATGTCAAGTTTTGGGAAGATAATTGGCTAGGGGACTCAACTTTGCAAAATGACTTCTCAAATATCTATCAAATAGCAAGCAGAAGTGACTATACTATCTCTCAGAACAGAGCATACAACACCTGGAATCCAATTCTCAGAAGGAATGTGCAGGATTGGGAATTGGGTGAACTACTCAGCCTCTTAGACGGATTGGGAAGATGTATGGCCAATGAGCAGGTTCCAGATAAACTCATTTGGGGAACAAGAGCAAAAGGAATCTAGACAGTGAAAGAGGGATACTGACACATCACTAGCCAGAATGAAATGGTGGACAATTGGCCTTGGAAGCTTATCGGTAAAACAAAACTACCCCCTAAAGTTATCTGTCACAGTTGAACTGCATTGAATGAAGCTTGCCTCACTCAAGACAATCTGTGCAAAAGGAGTATTCCCACAGTTAACAGATGCTACATGCGCCATCAAGATTTTGAAACAAACAGGCACCTTTTTTTGCATCGTTGAGTAACTTCAGACATTTGGAACATGTTCATTTCAGTGCTTGGACTCAATTGGGTGACACCAGAAAGTATTAAAGATGCTTACAGCAGCTGGAGCTTATGGAAAGTTGATAAATCCATCAGAAAGATCTGGAAAATGATTCCTGGATGTATCTTTTGGACAATTTGGGCAGAAAGGAATAGAAGATGTTTTGATGGAATATCAACTCAACTTACTTCCTCAAGGCTAATTGTTTAATTTTGTTATGTAGCTTGAGTAATCTCTCCCCTCTTTAGCTCACATGAGTCACTTTTGGATTTTGTTTGCTCCCTATCCTTAGCATAGGATTATATGTAATAGGGCTAGCAAACTCTCTTTTGTATTAGCGCCTGCACAATGCTCTATTTTGCATCTTCTTGATGCTTTTGATAATATCTCTTACTTCATCAAGAAAAGAACATCTCCCATCAAATACATTGCCTCAACCTCCAACCAATCCCCCCACCCTCAAGAAAAGGTCTTTTAGCAAGCAAACAAAAACTGATACAAAAGGCAAATTCCTACAGACCCAATCCAGCTTGGTTACTGATAGAGTGAATAAATCTCACGCTTAGATTCAAGCTTCTGATTGCAAGCTCAACCTATAGACATTCGCCAAGAGCGAAAATAAAAGTTTATATGACCATCATTCAATTAACGGATCTTACCTGATAGGGAATATCAACAAATATATGTGTCATTTTTACTCTCCAACGCTGCTAAAGACATTTTTTGGTCGGTACACTGTTATTCAGACAATTAAGAATGAGACCTCCTTCCACTGGTACTAATTCCCTAAACAACAGAAAGTTCAATTTGCATTTGCTTCAAGGCGCAGTGCATGTATGCTCTACAAGAACTTAAACCTTCAATGTGCAGTGAGGTCAGGTTAAATTCAGCAGACCAGATCTCAATTTGACCTTGATCTTGTAGATTTCTCTTCCTACTACTGGAATCGGGTGGTGGTGGCTGCTGGGTAAGGGATTTCAGTACGCAGATAGCAACCTGGAAGCTCCTCTAATTTAATTACTAAGTCTTGTTGGAAGTGTTTATAAGATTGTGGCCAAGCTGCTAGCAGAAAGGTTGAAGAAGGTTATCGATAAAGTGTAAACTTGTCTCCAATCATCAGAATGCCTTTATCGAACATCGAACAAAGATAGATCATTGATGTAGCACTTATAGCCAATGAGGCTTTAGATTGGAGTATTAAAACTGGGGATCCTGGCATATGTGCAAGTTGGACATAGAGAAGGTTGTTGACCAACTGAACTGGTCCTATCTAATATCTATACTGAGGAAGATGAGATTTGGAGACAAATGGATAAGGTGGATCAGATTCAGCATTTCAACAGTCAAGTACTCAGTGTTAGTTAATAGAGAACCAGTGGGTTTCTTCTCTCCCAAAAAGGGATCAGGTAAGGAGACCCACTCTCCCCATTCTTGTTCATTCTAGCCATGGAGGGACTAAGCACGATGCTGGAAAAGGCCAAAGAAATGCAGTGGATTCAGGGATTCAGAGTAGGCTCCAATATTGGGAACTCAATCACTATTTCTCACCTGCTATATGCTGATGAAACTTTGATCTTTCGTGAGGCAGATAAATCACAAGTTATGTACCTGAACCTCACACTTCTTCTCTTCGAAGCTTTGTCAGGGTTACATGTCAATGTGTTGAAAAGTATAATTTACCCTATTAATCATGTGCCTAATGTAGAGGAGCTCGGAGGCATTATAGGTTGCAGTATTGGTGGACTCTACCTACCACATACTTGGGTCTACCACTGAGTGCCAAATTCAAGAATTGTGAGATATGGAATGGGGTTATTGAAAAATTTGCGAAGAGATTAACTTCCTGGCAGCTTCAATATATATACGTAGGTGGCAAATTAACTCTCATCAGTAGTGTGCTTGACAGCACACCAACATACTACATGTCATTGTTCCCCATCCCAAGGAAGGTGCTAAAGCAATTGGATAGAACCAGTAGGGACTTCCTTGGGGAAGGTAATAGCAACACCCACAAGTTTCATCTGATAAAGTGGGATAAAGTCATTCAGCCGAAATGCAATGGAGGTTTGGGAGTCAGAGATCTAGCAACTAGGAGGTTAATCTTAGAAGAGTTGTGCAGGACTGGGTATAATGGATATGCTAGCAAAAGTGGAGTGGTATAATATTTATGTGAGCCAACCAAATACCATATGTTGCGGGAATAAGGGCACCTTCACAGTAAAAGAATGCTACAGACAGATTGGTTCTGAACCAGGTGAATGATGCATGGCCCTGGAGGCTAATGAGGGACTATGTTGCGCGGACTCTCCAAAATGAAGTCGCACCCGTGTCGGATCCTTTAAAAATGCACTACTTTTGGAGGATCCAACACGTATCCTGCCACATTTTCAGAGAGTCCGAGCAACATAGATGAGGGAGACCAAACTACCTATTAAAGTTATTTTTCATAACTGGATTGCCCTCAATGAGGCCTGCTTAACACAAAACAACCTCAACAAAGGAGGTTTCCACCTGGTCAATAGGTGTTATCTATGTTTGGAAGATGCGAAAACTGTCAGCCACCTGTTTTTGCACTGCCCAGTGGCAAATGACCTTTGGAATATGTCCCTTTGCATTTTTGGCTAGATTTGGATCATGCCACAGAATAAAAGAGGCACACATTAGCTGGTGTTTATGGAGAGTTGATAAGACCATCAAAAAAATCTAGTTGACGATCCCCGGTGCTATTATTTGGTGTTTATGGATCTCTTTTTTGTTGGACTAAGTTAATTGTTGTAATTAGCACCGACCAATTTCTGGACTTTGTTAGCTCCCTTGTCTTAGATTGACATTGTAAAGGGATTTGCAATTCTTATTATTTCTGCATTTCAATACTTCTGTAACTTTGCAACTTCTTGTTGCCTTTTTCTAATGGAACACCTTATTTCATCAAAAAAAAAAAACTTACTAAAGGAAGTAAGTTGTCTATGGAGAATGGTAGATAGACTTTCTTAGTACTAATAAGTTTGACATAGTACTATATTTCGGAAAAAACTAATTTCTAATAGGTGTCACAGGCCAAAAATCATAATGGGAGTAGGCCAATTTTATTTTTGGACCAAAACACTTGACCAATAAAATTTTCATCAAGAGGAGACAAAATTATCGAAAGCTTTTGGCATTATTGTAAGGCAAAGGAGCTTAGTGAGATTGCCAAAACCCTCTGAGGTACGTCTCTACGAATCTATGATAGAAAATTGACAAACCGATACCACCAGGTTCCATAAAACATAATGAAAAAAAAAAGAAAAAAGAAAACTTTCTTCTAGAGATTGAATATGTAAGTGAAAAGAAGAAAGTCACAACATACTATTACAACATTCCTTAAAAACTTAATCTACAAACTTAAACTCTATTTCTTTTTCTTTCTTTTTTTGATAAAGCAAACACTATTTCTTACTCCTGAAACTATGATAATACAACCTTCTACATACGGCTATTCCACTTCTTCCCTCTAATTATCCCACAAAATAACTAGATCATGGTTGAATTCGTATTGATATAAAGATTTAAATCGTGACTTTCCTCTCATAACCCTTTCAAGCATCAAAAGGAGAAGAGAGGCTCGCAATGGGGTTTGTAAGATTCATAAAAAGGAATAGTGGTGCAGACTTCCAGGTTATTGACCATTGGTGCAACCCACTTGCTTCAAATAGAACACG